GCTGGGCAATGGAAAATTACAAATCTAAACATTTTTCATTATATTACAGCAAACCCTTTTTTTTAATGCCATTAAATTTTCCTCTGGCACATCATCAAAAATCTTCATAAATTGGACATAAATCATATTTTAAAATGAAACAGGGCTTGTATCTGACTTGGACTCCTGTATCTTATCAGTTAATATAATATTCTAACATTCATTTCTCTCTTTTTAACTGTAAAACCATTAAGATTCTATCCTAGATGTCGAGGATAGATGAAACAGTAATAGCGAGTCAGTAAGTGTAATCTCTCAATAGTTGTAATAAGCTTGAAACCCACAAATACTATCAGTTGTTGAGATCTACCGGACAGATTGACAGCACAACTTTTATAATATAGATAAATTTATTCACTGCATACAGATAAATCTTGAAATGAATTTTATTAGATGAAATGATAGAATGTTTTACGTCTTGTTTTTCTGCACCTTAGAATTTATGAAAGATTGGCATCTTATTGGGTTAATGAAATGAAATGTAGTTTTATATCCTACTGTTCTGTACCTTATTGAACTAATGAAATGAAATAGAGTTTTATATCCTACTGTTCTGTATCTTATTGGACTAATGAAATGAAATATAGTTTTATATCCTACTGTTCTGTACCTTATTAGACTAATGAAATGAAATATAGTTTTATATCCTACTGTTCTGTACCTTATTGGACTAATGAAATGAAATGGAGTTTTATACCCTACTGTTCTGTATCTTATTGAACTAATGAAATGAAGTAGAGTTTTATATCCTACTGTTCTGTATCTTATTGAACTAATGAAATGAAATGGAGTTTTATACCCTACTGTTCTGTATCTTATTGGACTAATGAAATGAAATAGAGTTTTATATCCTACTGTTCTGTATCTTATTGAACTAATGAAATGAAATATAGTTTTATATCCTACTGTTCTGTACCTTATTGAACTAATGAAATGAAATAGAGTTTTATATCCTACTGTTCTGTATCTTATTGGACTAATGAAATGAAATGGAGTTTTATATCCTACTGTTCTGTATCTTATTGGACTAATGAAATGAAATAGAGTTTTATATCCTACTGTTCTGTATCTTATTGGACTAATGAAATGAAATAGAGTTTTATATCCTTTTATATCTTATTGAACTAATGAAATGAAATGGAGTTTATATCCTACTGGTCTGTATCTTATTAGACTAATGAAATGAAATAGAGTTTTATATCCTACTGTTCTGTATCTTATTAGACTAATGAAATGAAATAGAGTTTTATATCCTACTGTTCTGTATCTTATTGAACTAATGAAATGAAATATAGTTTTATATCCAACTGTTCTGAATCTTATTGGACTAATGAAATGAATGGAGTTTTACATCTTATCGGCCTGTTCCTGTTATAACTTATGATGGATTTAACTGAATAACAATTTAATAACACAGTTTATTAACCCCCAAGAACCACAAGCTTTCCACGTCACTGAGTACATAGTTATAGATCAGTGTGGCTAGTCCAATCCATCTTATCCCCCACGCCTTCTTTTAAATGGAATATACCCCTGGAAAACATAATTATCTAGATGACAATAACAGAATGATTCTCCAAAACGGAATTCCATTTTCGGAATCAAAGATATGGGGTACATATTAAATGGTTTTGTATGAGAGATGATTATAGTAGATCATACTAATATAATAAGATATATAAACGGTAAAGTTCTGATGATTTAAATTAATGAAAAGTGTTCTTACCTTGCCGTCGATATCCGAGAGACTGACCCTCGTGGCTTGACAATGGCCCATCACAGTAAAGCAATAAATACATAATATACAAAACACACCCCACTTATACATAGTGGATTGACAGAATAATAGAATGGATGAATGAACACTACATCATTTATTCCTTTAATATCCTTCTCTCACTCTATCCACAATTCACGAATTCATCGATGCAAACACACACCGATTTTCACCAAAACAGATTTTAATTTTTCACTTAAAATTCAAATCACAAAGTATAAAGAAATTTTCTTTTAAAATAGAAAGAAGATGAATTTAAAGTGTATCATTTTTCTGTAGTAAGGTGTATAATTTCACACGAGTAAACATGTTTAAAAGTTAGCCCTCCCTTACTGAACATAACTCACCGTCATTCAACCACTAGCGTTTAAATCAAATCCCAAATTCCTTTAAATAATAATCACATGTCCGACTGATTCCGTACGATATTTAACTATTTATTAGTTGTTGTCGAGAATCTGTAGTTAATGATTCACTGTTCTTTTACAATAATCAGTTATAATAGAATTCACACCAGAGATATCCTACTATCACGTGACTAGAGTTTATCCTATTGAATATTCATGAGGTGGTCTGGGACGGGGTGATCCTGACTGGGGGTGAGAACAAGTAACGTCTTATCAATATGTATTAACTAGAGTTTAATGAGTTCACTGGCTGGTGAATTAAAACGGTGAGACAACTATTACTCTGTTCAACCAATGATTTACCGGTAGGTAGTGAACAGTCATACACCGTAGAGTATAAAATACGACACTATACTGTTAACGAAATGTTATCAACTACCAAACCAACATCATCCAATTTGAACCAATCCAACAACCAACTACCACGACTACCAACAACTACATAGTTTGCGATATCAGCATCCGCTGGAAAGAACGTTAACTCGTCATCTACCTACCTACTTGTTTGCGAAATGAAATTTCACCACCTGATTGGAAAAACGAAGACGGGCAACGCCACGAATTGTGCGGTGGGCGAAATTGTATAAGGACAGTGGCATTAGGATTTTGAGTTCCGAATGATTGGCCCAAAAAATGGCGCAAGCGTTCCTTAAATTTGCTTCGACGTAGACGTACAACAACATGCGACTAAATCCGATAACCACCTCGAGTCCGATAAGGTGCATAGGTGCATAATAGTAAGATTCATTTTATATTCTCTATTCTGAAAGTAACGACAGCAAAAAAACTTTACTCCGTACTTGACCAAGAGAAGTTTCAAGCTTCAGAATAAAATATCTTAGTTAGCTTCGAACATACAACTTATTTCAGCATAGAAAATATCATATTTTCTCCACAATCGCACCACAAAAGTTCCTTCGAAAACTTCGACCTAAGTAAAAATACAAAGCAAGTACTCTCGATTTTGTCATTCTATTGACTGATTTGTCTTGCTTGTGCAGATTTTTATATATAATGTCGAGACAGGCAACGCCATGCAGTGGTCAAAGAGGTAAATTAGCGAGAAGAAAAGCGAGTTAACCTAATGAGAGGTATGGAAGGCTATTGATATTATTGAACGAACAGGTGCGTGTCGGACAGTAGAAATATACCGTATTATCAACACACACAAACACATATCTTATTGTTATATCTTGATAACCACACACCTGTTATAATAGTCTCTAATAACCAGACATATAGCACGTGGAGATGAAATAGATTTATACTGAAGACGGGCAACGGCATGCAGTGTACAATAATGGAAATTTTGTAAGATGAGTGGACTGCAGGTACTCTCTATAGATTTTTTTCAACTGTCTACTGAATGTAAACATTGATATAAATGTTATTTTTCAGTGGCTCAACAAGATGAGTGCCCGTCCCCCCTCCCCCCGTCCCCTGGAAGTTTTTGATCGTATGTTATCCTGAATTCCGAGACACCTTTATAATACATTTTAATGGACAAGTTAATGATTTTCAGTCTCTCTTAGTTTGATAATAACTCTATACTTTGTTACATTTTTTTTTTAACTTTGTATTTTGGGATGGAGGCCTGTGAACTATGGTAGTTGTTATATTGAATGTGTTAATATTGGTGAATATTTCAACTCGTCTTCTCTATAATGAAAAGTGAAGAAATATAACCCGTTAGTGTTGTCAGTGATAGAGATAGCGTGATGTAACCAGACTGTTAACTGAGATCTTAGTTTATATCAACCAGACAGGCCACGTGCGGTCCTTCTACTGTATCTTACCTGGCTATCATACCAGACTATAGGCTTGTCTTTTTGATTCTCTTTTTTTTTACAGAGATCCGTTGTCGGTTTGTAAGGGGACTACTCGTTCATAGACATAAACTTTAAATACGTTGTCATTGAAATTGAAATCTCAATGAGATATTCCGCACCTTAAAGAGTATGTTATTTTTCAAGCTGATTCCTTTCTCGCCATTCTCAAAATAATCCGTCGAAGAGCCTGTGAGCCTCGAACAAATGCCTCCTTATATTGATGCTATTTCTAACTATCATGCCTTACGAATTATTATTATGGATATCAAGCTAATAACCTTTGAACTCTATGAGCTTGAAGACGGAAATAATACTGTCTAGAAGACAGTTGGGGGCTTATTTTCGATGAAATCCAGATTTTTGACAATATTGTTATGTAAATGGCCAATTAGATAAAGAGAATATTATAATTATTTTATGTGAAGTTTCATAATTGGGACTCAGTTTGAACCAGAGGTATCGGAAATTCCCCAAATGTATTAACTACAAAATGCATTGCCACCCAATAGGCCATATCACTCTAATAAAAAACTATCTTCCTATAGACGTACTGAGCGGCTACGCAATACGTAGTAACAATACATTTGGGAAATTTCAAATACCTGTAGTTGAACAACGGACTGAATTAACATGCTGTGAGATGGATTATGAAGGTAAGATCGGATTACAAGGCCGTTATGATAAAAACTAGTTGATATTATATTATGTAACGTATTCATACTCTATCTTGATAAACATTCTAGTTACTTCATTCATATCTTCTATACATACCCTTACTATACATATCTTACTCGACTTGCTACATTCCCTTACTATAAATATCTTACTCGACTTGCTACATACCCTTACTATAAATATCTTACTCGACTTGCTACATACCCTTACTATACATATCTTACTCGACTTGCTACATACCCTTACTATACATATCTTACTCGACTAGCTACATACCCTTACTATACATATCTTACTCGACTTGCTACATTCCCTTACTATAAATATCTTACTCGACTTGCTACATACCCTTACTATAAATATCTTACTCGACTTGCTACATACCCTTACTATACATATCTTACTCGACTTGCTACATACCCTTACTATACATATCTTACTCGACTAGCTACATACCCTTACTATACATATCTTACTCGACTTGCTACATACCCTTACTATAAATATCTTACTCGACTTGCTACATACCCTTACTATAAATATCTTACTCGACTTGCTACATACCCTTACTATAAATATCTTACTCGACTTGCTACATACCCTTCAAGTCCCCTAGCTCCGTTATCTTACTCGACTTGCTACATACCCTTACTATACATATCTTACTCGACTAGCTACATACCCTTACTATACATATCTTACTCGACTAGCTACATACCCTTACTATAAATATCTTACTCGACTTGCTTCATACCCTTACTATACATATCTTACTCGACTTGCTACATACCCTTACTATAAATATCTTACTCGACTAGCTACATACCCTTACTATACATATCTTACTCGACTAGCTACATACCCTTACTATACATATCTTACTCGACTTGCTACATACCCTTACTATAAATATCTTACTCGACTAGCTACATACCCTTACTATACATATCTTACTCGACTAGCTACATACCCTTACTATACATATCTTACTCGACTTGCTACATACCCTTACTATAAATATCTTACTCGACTAGCTACATACCCTTACTATAAATATCTTACTCGACTAGCTACATACCCTTACTATAAATATCTTACTCGACTAGCTACATACCTTTACTATAAATATCTTACTCGACTTGCTACATACCCTTACTATAAATATCTTACTT